CTTTGTCTTACAAGACCAACCAGACAATCCCGCTTCCGTTTCCCTACATTAACGCTACTCGAACACTTACAAACGCAACGGACTAGTGGACAATAAAATAATTTCTTCTTGCRACTGAAATCTTATTTATTTAATAACATTGTTAACCTAGAATGGGAGAATTTTCATATTTGTTTTTTATTTAGATTGGGACTGCATGTATTAAACAAGGGCAGAAATACCGATAGGTCGATAGCCTTTTTTAGAAATAAAGATGTTTACTACTACTATTGTTAACCTAGAATAGGAGAATTTTCATATTGGTTTTTTATCTAGATTAAGACTGCATGTATTAAACAAGGGCAGAAAGACCGATAGGTCGATAGCCTTTTTTAGAAATAAAGATGTTTACTACTACTACTCGAGCAAAATTTTTTTTATAAAAATTTGAAACCGGTTAAAACCGGTTTTCTGGAAAAATTACTATTCGAAAACCGGTTTTCTAAAATGTCGAGTTTTGTATAAACCCTAGTACGAAGCTAGAAATTTTTACAAGGAGTATAAAAAACTGAAAAGAGTACTAGTGCATCAACTCAAAAAAAATGGGTCAACTCCAGCCAAGCAAATAAAAAGTTCTGGTAGTTTTTGTATCAAAATACTCAAGAATTCACTACTTACCCAAACTGGATGAACTCGGTTGCATCGTCAAAATATGACTCTTCCTATGTAAGACTCTTCCAGTACCTATTTAAAAAACCATATTTTGAAACCAACTTTGAGCATCATTGCGAGGAGCATCAATTAGTGGATGTGTTGTTGATCAATTAGTGAAAGTTAGTGGATGAGTAAAAATCAACTAGCAGATTCAAGATCTCACCTTTCGATCCCGCTGTCTTTCCAGATATTTCCATCTCTTTCCCGAATGAAATATGCAACGAAACCAGAATATTTCCGTTTTAGCTCTTCACGGTCTCTACTCCGTTTAGGCTTCTATTGCTGCTTATATTTGATTTCTAACTGTACTTTGTGGTATCTTTGTTTTCGCATTTAATTCTTGTGTCCATAACTGTCAGGGTATTCTTCATCCTCTAGTTTTATCTTCTGTACTTTTTGTCCTTTCGCTTTATGGCTGCTTGCGTTGTTATCATTGTTGTCTTAATCACTGACGGTTTTTCTTCAGTTTCTAAATTATTTAGGTCTTCTCCATGTAAGAAATAAAATCCCTAGCTTATAACTGCAGTCACTTTATCCTATGTTTATGCAGTTATGTTTTTACTACTTTAATTATATTTCTAGTTTCTTTATTAGAAGAATTTGAGTCCATCGCAAATAAAACAAAAGTTATTTTGTTAATAGAAAAAATGCAAAAAAATTATATGAATCATTTTGTAAATATCGCGGATAACCTACGAGCATAAGCATAAAAATAGTATAAGGTCGACAAATACGTCGCAAAAAATCAAAAAGAAATTGTAAAGTTGAGATATGTTTGTTTTAAAAAAGATTTAAGTGTGAAACGCTTCAGCCAAAAACTTTCAGACATATTTTATATGGGTTAAAATTAAATGGCATTAGAAAATAAGATTATTATTTTATGAACTGAATTAATCTTACGAGCCAGAAAATTTGCAGAAGATTTATAGCCCAGAAAAATATCTTAGTAGGTGTCACCAAAATTCTTGTTTCGGATCTACATACTATTGCGAAACGGAATTTTCATACTTGAAATTAAGGAAGACTAAACAACCCTACTTTCTAACTAATGCCCTTACTGAAGACTTATGGATCTCTGTCAAAATACAGGGTGTCCCGTAAGCACATGATCAAAAAGGTACTGCGACATTCTTTGGACCCAAAGAAGACGATCTGACCTAACTTTTATTAACAAAAATGTCTGGCTCCTCTGCTATTGATGGTCAAAGTTCTTCAAAAAATTATATTTTTCGAAATATCGGGAGAATGGTTCGATGTATTTTAGTGAAACTCGCTGTGAATTTGTTCTTATGTAGGACTCATATTTTGATGAAACAATCGAGTTCAGTCGATTTGGACAAGTGGTGGAATTCTTGAGTGTCGTGGTACAAAAACTACCAGAACTTTTTAGTTGGAGGATGAAATCAACTCATTTTTTTTAGATTGATGCACTATTCATTTGTTCACAATTTTGTGCTCTTTGTAAAATCTTGTAGCATTCATAGTTTTTGCGTAAAAAAATATGTCTGTTTTCTAGTCACTTAGCAATGCTAGACATTTACTGCAAATATGCGCCGCTTAAACGCGTACGCTTTCACGCAAATTGTCTTCGCAAAACCCTAATTCTTTGATCATCTTCTTCTTCTTCATTAGAAAAGGTAATTCAAAACGAATTTGTGAGATTGATGGACAATGATTTTATGCCTCGCATCACGATATTTGCAGTTAATGTCTAACATTGTTAAGTGGCAAGGAAACAGAAATATTTTTTTTTGCAAAAACTATGAATGCTACAAGATTTTCGAAAGAGTATAACATTGTGAATAAATGATTAGTGCATCAATCTAAAAAAAATGAGTTGATTTCATCCTCCAACTAAAAAGTTCTGGTAGTTTTTGTACCACGACACTCAAGAATTCACCACTTGTCTAAAACGGCTGAATTCGATTGTTTCATCAAAATATTAGTCTTACATAAGAACAAATTCACAGCGAGTTTCACTAAAATACATCGTACCATTTTTAGTCCCGAGATTTCAAAAGATAAATTTTTGGAAGAACTTTGACCATCAATAACAGAGGAGCCAGATATTTTTTGTTAATAAATGTTAGGTCAGATCGTCTCCTTTGGGTCCAAAGAATATTCGCAGTACCCTTTTGATCATGAGCTTACGGGACACCCTGTATACACCTAATTATGTTTCCTTGATTAAAGAAATTCAAGCTCAGTATTCCTACTAATGTTGAGCTAACAAAGCAAATTATAAGTCTCTTAATCTGTAGCTACTTTGAATTAATAAATATTGTCAATTATCTGTGGTTTTTTTACTTCCCTTGGACGTGAGTTTTTCGCCCATTAAATAATTAGTTCTGTTACGAGGTGTACTCAGCGATCTATTGATAGATTTAAAAAAAGTAAAAAAAGTCATATAATTCGATCACGAGTTAACTGACCACCTATCCCCATAAACTGATGAGCCAGCAGATCATATGTCCGTTTGGAGACAATAACTACCAAGGAGATGTGCGGAGGCCAGTCAGTCAGAAGTAGGCAGTCAACGAGTAACTTATGAACTTTTGTAATCTAACAAAATAAAATTGTTTTTAAAAAGGGCTCTCGCCGGTCTCATTAGTTAATTCACGATAAATTTTCCTGGCCAAAAAAAACCGCGAAATTAGGGAAATATGTAATTATCACGTTATCAGCCATACTGTACATTTTATAACAACTTTTTACTACTTACGAACAGATAGTACAACTTATAAATCGCAGTTTGCAGAAAAATCAAATTTAATTTAAAGTTATTGTGAAGTAGAATTTTTTGGGCACAACTGCAGCAATAGGCCATTTCGCGATTTTTCTCTTCGGCTGAGTACATTCGGTATTTGCTCATAAAAAATAGGTTTTATCCGCATCTTTGTCAGACGTTAGAGCATAGACTTGTAGCAGGTTCAGCTTTTAAAATTAGGTGGTTTACAACAAATCATTGTTTTTAGGACACGATTAATGTCGCACAAATGTCTAGACGGTCTGAAGAAAATAACGAAAAATTCTTGAAACTTTCTGCTTTTCTGCTCCCTGTGGCTCATTAATAGATAGTTATTAGGCCTCTTACAATTACGTTGGCCTTAAACGCTAAACGTTATTCTAATCATGGGCAGTGTTGAAAACGAAGGTGTTCAGGCAAATAACGTTAAGTGCGTTTTTTAGTTTATGACACCGCGTTTGTCGCACTCTTGACAAAATAAACCTCACTTTTGACACTTGACAAAATAAACCTCAACCTAAGAGCTATTTTTAATTTAGAAAATATTGAACCCAGAGATTGCCTTATCAATTTTAGGTTTCAGAAGACACATATTCCAAACAAATTGTCAAAACACATTTCCAAAAAAAGTTAGGTTATGGGTTAGAAGTTAGAACCTGTCCGTGCGATGTTAGTAATGTTCCTAAAGTTCAAATTTGCCTAAACAATGTTCACATAAAACCCGTAATTACGCGATAATCGCGTAAATTAATCAATGAAAAAGTCATAGATAGATTAACAATACATTTCTTAATGTATTATAGCCGCTTATTTTATTAATAACATTAGAAATAAGTCAAATGTGTCAACATCGTCGTTCTGCTTTTTAACGTGATGCTTATTAACGTTACCGCTACTCGTACGTAAATAAAGGAACATGTTATCCTCTAATAACGTAAACGGTTATTTCTTTACTATTGCGCATGCTCATAATAACAAATAACGTAAAGCGTGTTGCAATTAAGGGGCCCAAAAAATCCCTAATGAAGCCACTGTGGAGGTATTTTTTAGACGCCTTTCACGTAATTTTAAGCTAAGGAACTTCCAGAACCAGTTATTTTCTTACGTTGTGTATTTCCCATTTAAAATCAACCATCTCTCATTATCGACGCTTTCCTGTTAACAAATTTACTGATATTTTCCAGAGAGTTTTTTTTTATTAAACATACATTTTCAAATTGTTTAAAGTCCTTATCGCAGATTAAAGGACTAAAAACAGTAAATGTATTTCAAAATTGTCATCTTTTCTCAGAAGTATTAATATATACTAGTAATTTATGGCTCTGACTACAACCTACCATTGAGGGTATATTAATACAGAACCGATAAACAATAAAGTTGATAATTTTCACGAATCACTAAAATAATTCACATGAAGCCTAACATGCACGTTTTTGAAGCATCGCTGTTGATAGGCGTCTATAAACCACCCATTTTAAAATGTTAATGTGGATGGAATGCCATAAATTATAAAATAATCCGTGATAAAAATGTCTCATGCTTGGCATTACTGATGTAGAGATAAGATTAAACTGTTATAAATATAATAAAGAAGTGTTTATCAGTTAGTAGAATATTCGTGGTAAAGTCGTATTGCTATTGAAATAATGGCTGGTAAGTTGCAATTCCAACTCTTTGGTTGTGAGTGTTTCAATCCTGATTCCTCTCTAATATTTACGAACAAATTGTCGAGTTTTACTAGCAAATGTTTTCGTTTGGGTGATTTATTTAGTCCGAAGAACAGACTCTCAAAACTTTCCAGGAATTGATTTCATGTAGTAATCCTGAAAGCAATAGCGTTTAATACTCAAGAGGCAGAAGGCAGATCTTAAGAGCTGGAATATCTTAATTCTCCAATAGAATTACCTATTGTTATTTGCCATAATAGATTAAGAAACAAATCTAAAGTACACACATCAATCAAACTATTAGGCAGACGAGCCTAAAAAGTTAAAAACAATGTTTTGAAAATTTAGTAGATAATTTTTGCAAATTCTCTTCTACACGTCCAATAATCAACAAATAATTTTATGTAAATTAATTAAAATTGCCATATTCAAAAAACATATCACAGTTGATTTCATACTTTCTTCTCACAGCTTGAGATTTTCACTTATTGAGACACACAATTGCCAACATTTTTTTAGCAATTGGGAAAAAAGATAGAAAACTTACACTACGTATAAATAAAGTAGTTAGGAGACAGATTATTAATTTAGATTAGAATAATTAAGGCAAAACGAGAAATTTATTCACAGACTTTTTTTCATAAAAGTTTGGGGTGTCATGCTTCTTGTGATAGAAAACTACACACTAAAATAATAAAAGCTTTCTTATCTTAGTACATAAATATAAACCTTTCAGGCCTCTCATTTATTTTCTATAATTTGCCCTACCCTCCTCCGCAAGTTACTAAAAAATGAATTAAAATTAATTAATTAAAAGTTACTAAAATATTTTATAATTTTACATTAGGTAACATTTATTATTCATCAAGTTGTACATGATGCAATCGATGAATATAAAATTATTAGTTCAATTTTAAATTTCTTTCAGTTAATCTGAGTTTAATTTTAATCTCTATTTGCGATAATTGCGGCAACAAATTGCATTTAATCGCAAAGCAGTATTTTTTATTTTGCGAAACTTGATATTTTACCGAGAAAATATTAGTACAATAGTACACTTATTACGCGAAGAAAAGAAACAATTAATTTTGAATTAGTTATAGTGGTTTAGTTATAGATTTCCAGAATGCAAATTAATGGGAAATTTTCGCTTGGGTCATGCGGTTTTAAAAAACTGTTAATTTCAAAGTCAGTCACAGACAAAAGATTTTTTTTATTACTTCTCCACTTTGAGATATCAGTTAACACTTATTGCTTTTAAAACGTTTCCAATGCGTTGATTAATCACTTCTCTGAACAATGAATATTCGGTCGTTATATGCGGTAGAAATTAGAACCATTTGTTTGTGGGTGATTATTGCGTTCAAAGATTAGATAGACGAATCTTTCAATAATCACATTAATTCAGTCCATGGGAATTGTTTTAATACATTTTATGGTTTTACACAAGACAGTCAAGATTTCTTCAATACGAACTGTTTTTGCACCTTAAAAGACAAAAGATAATTAACTCAAAAAGATCGTAGACTTAATTTTTGCTGCTTGTTTAATAATTTACCTTGTGACGACAGTGGCATTCAGTACTTTTACATCCCATGGCTTAAGCAACAAAAATCAGGACAAAATTAGTAAGGAAAATTACCAGCACTCATGGATAGTTTTTGGGAAAAAATTTTTTATCAAAATTTTGTATTAGATATTAGATTCCCTACTAAGTAATCAGCTAGAAAAAGCAATAATTTTGTTGTCATGGTTCCAAAAAATCGCAAAAACAAGTTTCAAAGCTCGAAAACCTTCAGGCAATAGCCGCGAACGCCTAACTCATTTGTTCCGTTACTTTTAATTCAGAATTAAATAGTTAGACTTGGAAAAAAAGTTATGAGAGTATAAAGCAAAAAAATCATTTTATTGAATTTTAAAGTCATAAAATAAAAAAAAAACGTTAAATAATTAAATTTTAATTCTCGAAATTAGGCGTCTTTGCAAACAACTTATTGTCGCAGGAGCGCTTCAAAGGCTGTTCAATTCTATTAAACGGGTGTTTCCTGTAGGCTTGGGTAACTCAGTGAATTTTTAGGAGTTGGCGCAGTGCTACGCAAATTGCTTGGTGCGCCAACCCAATGCACCAGTGCAGTAACTCAGTTTCGTTGCTGGGAAAATGTTGATGATTTTTTTTACTTGTTTTTAGATTTATTTTAAGGTTCATTTATTAATAAAATTTTTAAAATGTTTTCAAAATTTCAGAATTTTCCAGTTTTAGTCAAGTTACTCTTTCTTCTAAATGCTCAAGTTTCTAAAGTTTCACTTAAAAATGCTTACAAATCTTAAGGTATTTTCCGTGAAAAATTATGAAATAAATTTCGAATCCTGGGTCGCTTTGTAAAAAGTTTTGAAATCCCTTTCTAGCGTCGAATTTGGAACAAAAATCAAATTATTTTCTATTGAAAAACAAACAGAATAAGCGAAAGTTCATAACAGATTATTTAGAAATCTCGTCACCTCAATTCCTCTGAAGACTGTAGAGTTTGTTAAAAAAAATGTGGTTTTTTCAGTTTTACCGAATGTTTTTTGTTTTACTTTCTATTCAAAAACCCTCATTTTTGTAGAGTTTCACTTAAAAATACTGACGATCTGGAGGTCTTTTACGCGAAAAATTACAAGATTAATTTATAGCTTTGTTAAAAATTTACAAAAACTTTTTTCAGCGTCGAATTCGAGACAAAAACGGAAATAAATTCCTCCCGTTTTTCTCCGAAAACCTTTAAGGTTTTCTCCAAAACCGAACACAAAACTAAAAGTTTTTAATCGAAAACGCAAAAAACCATTATTTTCTGATGATTTCCTTATTTTCTGACAATAATGGGGCCTAAAGCTAAGCCTCAGCCTAAAATAACAAAATTGATTTTGCTAGAAAATTCGCCTCATTCCTCGGGTTGCAGGGAACTTTAGAAAACCGTTTTCAGCTTCGAACAAAAACCAAATAATTTTATTCAGTTTTTTACCGAAAGTAATTACAAGATTATCTTGCAAAAACGGCCAGGGAGCAAAAGTTTACAAAAAATTATTTGGAAAATTCGCCGGCCACATCGCTCCGAAAATATTTAAATTTTCAGGTCATTCTAGTTTTAACAAAGTTGCTATTAAGCAATTCTTTCTATGCAAAAATCACATTATTATTTAGTTAAAATACTGACAATTTTCAGGTATTTTCTGTAAAAAATTATAAGATAGATTTTATTTGAAACAGGCGCGTCCTTAACCGCTTTGCAAACATTTTTGGAAAACTTTTTGCAGCTTCGAATTATGGACAAAACCCTAATAAATAATTCTTATTTATTATTTTTTATTTTTCCAAAAATATTTCCCCGAACTGAAAACGCGAAAGTTTATAATCATTTATTTGGAAAACTCTTGGAAACTGCGGTTTCTTCACTTTTACGTCAATATTTCTACACAACACTGTCACTAAACGAAAAAACCCAGTTTTTCCTAACGTTACCTAAAATACTGGAAACTGAATCTTGTATGCGAAAAATTAAGAGATTAATTTTACAAGAAAACTCGTCGACTTTCTCTAGACTCACTTCTGTTGCTGGAAGAATCTAGATTACTTTTTTTAGTTGTATGAACAAAGTAGTAAACCGTTACCCAGGAAAAATGTTGATGACCTTTTTTTTAGATGTGCAAATTCCAGTCTTTGGTCTCGTAAAGCTTTAATAAATGACTCATAACTCATAATAATAGTTAAGATAAGATAAGTTATAACTCGTTAACTCAGAGAGCGGCAACAACTCCATAGCGCGACTCAACACAGTGTTACCCAGGCCTAGTTTTCTTGATAAATTTTGAAACTTTGGAAAGAGTTGATTTCGTGATAACCAGGTCTGATCTAGAAACGCCGCTTTTAACAGACTTTCAAGAAAGCTTCTTTTTCCAAATGCTTCAAATGCGGTTCAATTCTATTAAACGGTGTTTTGTTGATAAATTTTGAAACTGTAAAGTTTCTCATTTGTGGTAGCATTTGAACGAGCTCGTTTCTAAAGCTTATTTATTGATAACCAGGCTAGATATTGAAGTTGCGCTTTAGCAGACCCTAAAGGAAGCTTCGCTTTGCAACTGCGATCAATATGCTTCAATTCTAGTGAACAGTTATTTTTCAATAAATTTCGAAACTTTGGAAAGTTCTTCATTTGGATTCTTATTTGACGCATCTCGGTTCCAAAGCCAATTTCTTGATAACCAGGCCAGATATTGAAATGTTTTAAGCAGACTCTAAAGAAAGCTTTATCGTTCCATGAAACGATTTCTTCATAATCAATTTTGAATCTGGGAAGTTTTTCATTTGTCCCATTTTTATATACTTATTGCAATATTTTAAATTGATAAGTGCGGGATCTTTGGAATCTCCTTCAATGGTTTTTCTGTAATATTTAAATTTTCTACAATAATAATAATAATAGAACCACTGAAAGCGCAAAACTTCGTTGCAAGATGAGCCCTTTTTTGTATACTAAGCCTGGATAATTCGATCAAAATAAAAACGTTATTTGCAAAAAAAAAATTGTTCTAAATTAAGAAATACCCATCTTATTAAGCTCTGTTTTAAGTGCTATAGAACGATTTTCTTTCCAACTCTACAACAATGCAAACGGATGCAAAGGATTGGATAATCGGCTTTCGAGATATTTTAAATATTCCGTACTTATGAGTCACTCTATTTGCAACGTTTTATCACGTAGCTTCTAGAAATTTCGACAATCCGTTGACGAAATGATAGAAATTATATTTTTTCCAAATTCACGCAATTTACAGTCCCTTCAAGCGACCACCTTGCATTCAGATCATGCCCTCACAAAACCCAAACTATCTAATCGCGCTTACCTTTATTCCGTTCCAGACCGCCCCTGTAACATAAATAATGGCATCCAGTATCCTCACACACCTTCATGGAGACCCAGACAGTGTGGTTGTTCCAAGAACTCCCCACATACTAGTGCACAATGTCCTGGATGCGTCAATCGCCCGAACATTTGCTGGCCTCCACCACCTGGATTCAGTAATCCTTATCCTGGGGGCGTAAACCTTCCTGCTTCTGCTCCTCCATTTCCTCCAAATGCTCCTGCTTTTCACGGTCCAAACTCTACATTTTCACCATCAACATTTCCTGGGCATTCATATCCACCCAAACATGTAATATCTGCTAACCATCCAAAGCTTGGATTGGGCGCTAAACGTAAGTCTTGTGTAAAACAATCATAATCAGCACTTTTATACTATCTAATAACCGGTTAAAGCACAGATATTTGCGGAATTTCTGTAATAAGAAAAATGAAAAAAAAAAAGAAAAAAAATAAAAACTGCATGCTAATTCCAAAAAGCTCCTAGACTCAAAAAATTATTTGAAAAAATTTAAAACTTTTTTTTGCTAGAAATTTTCTGGATAGAACATCAAAACGGGATATTACATAATACAAATAAAAAATTAGTCTCTTAATAGTTGGAAGCAAAACTAATAAAATTGGATAAAGCACTGCAATGTAAAAATCGCAAGATGTTAAAAATACTTTTTGTACGTATTTTTTAGATAGAGCATCAAAACGGGACTTTCCCTAGTAAAAGCTCAACCGAAACATTTTGCATCATAAAATTCAAAAGCAAAATTTAAAAAATTGGAAAAAGCACCGCAATGTAAAAATCGCAAGATGTTAAACATACTTTTTTGTACGTATTTTTTAGACAGAGCATCAAAACGGGACTTTTCCTGATAAAAGCTCAACCGAAACATTTTGCCTCATAAAATTCAGAAGCAAAATTTAAAAAAATTGGAAAAAGCACCGCAATGTAAAATTCGCAAGATGTTAAAAATACTTTTTGTACGTATTTTTTAGATAAGGCATTAAAACGGGACTTTCTCTAATAAAAGCTCAACCGAAACATTTTGCCTCATAAAATTCAGAAGCAAAATTTAAAAAATTGGAAAAAGCACCGCAATGTAAAAATCGCGAGACGTTAAACATACTTTTTTGGACGTAATTTGTAGACAGAGCATCGAAACGGGACTTTTCCTAATAAAAGCTCAACCGAAACACTTTGCCTCATAAAATTCAGAAGGCAAATTTTAAAAATTGAGTAGAAGCGCTGCAGTGTAAAAATCGCTAGAAAATGTTAAAAATATTTTTGCACGTATTTTCTAGATAAAATATATCAAACTGGCAACTTTACTAATAATAGCTCAACAGAAAGTCTTCACCTCTCAAAAGTTTGTAGCAAAAATAGGAACTTATTTTGGTAGGAATGAAAATTTTTAGGAGTCGTACAAATTAAAAATTTGACGTAAAAACGTTTAAAATTAAAGCACTTTTTAAAACTATCGGATCGAATCTATAAAACAACACTTAAAAAATTCGCCCTCTTTTTCTAGATTTCTAGAGACAGAGACACTGTGTAAATGTGTCCGGGCAAATAATTCTCAACCTAAGTACATATTGAAAAATTTTTCATTATTTAAGAGTTGAAATGTGTTGTTTTCAGCTTATTATTGGGTGGACACCTTTGCTAGGGGCGCTGTTCCCACTACAGCCCTTCATGCAGGTCATGATATTGATGGAACGCAAATATTCGTCGGAAGGGCGTTCCATGAGGGTGATTGGATACCTGCTAAAGTTATTCCGGAAAAGAATGTCGCTTATGTAGCTTATGGAGGCGCTGAACATCCAAAAGATCGTTATCAGGTAAAAGTGGGCGATTGGTTATCATTCTAACGCTTGAGGACGTAAATTAGTAAAAGTTGCCTAATTGTACCTTAACGCAGTCGCCCTTACGTCCGTTAAAATGCTTTGAAAATTTGTAACAAAAACAAACAACGAGATATTAAGCATTTTCACAAGCAAGGAATTAAAAGTAATAAAAACTTAAACGGGTTGAAGTACTCGTGAAGTGAATGTACTAGTTGAACCCAATTTAAATATGTTTGAATCCAATAAATTTCTTATTTACTTTCAATCCCTTGTGTATGAAGATGTTTAACAAAACGTGTCATTTCACAACCTTTACAAATCTGACTCTCAACGTGATTTTTTGGCAATTTTAACTATTTTTACTTCATTTTTTGGACATTATTCGTTTGGTACTCTTGAAGATGATGCTTCTATTTACGTTTTATTCAAAGGTACATTTTCATCCTTGAATTATCTACATACAATACCAGATAGTTTTATTCAACTTTATCCTATGCGTACACACTTACTTCCTCTTATCTCTCGTTTTCGTCTTCATTTCCTAAAATTATTAAAGACAGAACATAATTAAAACATACATTGAATTGCTATAAGAGCAATGGTTAGAAATGGTTCGAAAGCAGAAGAATTATTATGAAGATTCACATTGTTAATAAACGGTTGTGATTGAATGGTACTTATGAAGCAGATAAAGTTAGTAAAAACGAAAATAAAAAACATGTACATTTTTAAGATATACAGTTAGAAATGAAACCGGAATAGATTCAAAACGGAATAGATAGAACCAAATGTCAAGTCCCCAAAAATATTTAAGTGTTTTTCTTTCGCATTTTTGATGGAAACCGCAAGGACGAAGAAAAAATGTCAAAAAATTATTTAAAGTTTGTGGATTTGGTCACAAATATTTTTTAATAAAAAAGTTATTATGAACTAAACATCTGAACAATCATCGCCACTAAGTGAGTAAATTGCTAGATCTATTTATAAAGAGAGTACATTTTATTCGGATACACATTTACTTAAAATTTTCTGCTTTTTATAAGGAAAATGGGCGTCAAATTGAACGTGAAGCACGTATAAGAAGGACACGAATCCACCTCTACTAGCTCTGTAGTGCTCAAATTATGCTAGCCTTCAAAATAAATCGATTTTAGCAAATCGAAACAGCCAAACTATAGTAGAAAATTCAGTGGGTTCAGTTGGCTTGTATGTAATAACTGATATAAATTAGAGTTTGCCAATTTTAAATGAAATCGAGGTTCAATCCTCAAGTGAATTAAAAAATTTTCGTTCAATTTTCAACTTTTCCATGTCGCAAAATAACGAATATTACACGAATAATGCATTTTTATCAGTCTGAGTCAACGACAAACAAACTTTCGCCTATACATACGTGGCAATTGAACGTAATTACCAATGACGGTGGCTTGTAATATAGATAACGAGTTAATCATCCTTGGATCAAAGCCATTGTGAGAACAAATTTGTTGACTGTTAGAATTCGACACAGTTCCTGCACCTTCGAGATGGATTAGAAAATGTAATAAAATGAACAATCTTTAAATAAACGCAGCACCGTATCGGAGAAATTAATTCATTGGTTTAGCAAAAAATAACTTATTTTAAATCATCTGACATTGTTGATTTATGAATTTCAGGTTTTATGTGAGCAAAGATTTGACTGGGAACCAACATCAGGAGGGCAGGTTCCACCAGGTGCAGTGGAAGGAGGCCGAACCTCAGACGGAGAAACCCTTTATATTGGAAGAGTGCACCATGATGGTGCTCTTACTGTTGGAAAGGTACATTTTGAAAAAATGCAAAACCGTATTTTTCTTTCGAAAAAACCATGTTTTTAATTTATCTTCTAGCTACACGTACAGAGCGTCTGCAAACAGTAACAATATTTAATGTCTGCAAATTAAACTGTTGATGTAGGTATCAGCAGACCCTTTTTATATCCTAATTGTTTATGGAGACACAAAATCGGCGTAATTTCTTTGACTAATTATTAATTAGTCTTACATGGGGAGTACACACAAATGTATTTATTTCTTTATTCTCAAATATCTGAACAGTTGATTATTCATATTTCACTTTGTTCATTGACCATTATGTTAAAGGATGCTCGATTGAAACACTTTTAAAATTGCTAAAACTTAACATTGCCAACCTTTAAATCAATTTTCGGTTCGTAAAAGCAAAATTTTCATCATTTTTTACAAAAATGTACACCGGCAATGAATCTAAATGAAATGAAAGTCGATATTTTCTGACAAAAACGCTTCAATTTTAGTCAGTTTTTTTTTCAATCATAAAACGTTAATTGAGAAAATTAGGATTTTAGCGTTTTTTGAGCACA